TAAAATGGATAAATAGGTATTTTAAATGGTTTTCAAATGCAAAAATGGTTTTTCTTGCCATAGCGGAACAAAATTTTTACGAAAAAGTACAGAACAACTATATATAGATTGAGATAAGATCTTAGAAATTCTTAATTTTTCGTAGATATTCGTAGTGAGACATAAAGTGAGATTTGTTTGTCTCAAAAATCCCTAGTTTTTCGTAGGTATTCGTATGTAAGACCTAAAATGTAAGACGTAAAACGTTGTTTGTGGGCGGAGAATTTTTTGGTTTTTCAAATAACATTACTTTACGTCCCACTACAAATATCTACGAAAAACTAAGAATTTCTAAGATCTTATTTCAATCTATAATAATATTTCGTAAAAACTTTCCGCCAAGATGGTATAAATTGTATAAAAGTATTTTACGTTTGAAATCCATTTTCAACGTAATTCGAAGTCCTGACTACAATATTATAAATAAAGTATTTCTCACGGGAATATTTTAAATTTTTTAATATTATAATTTGGAAACGGGACCGTTTACTTGAATAAATCAAATTAATATGAAAAGCGCCGGTTACGGTCAAAATTAGATGTTAAGAGTAATATACATTTTTAGAAATATATATAGTATTTTACATAATTCAGGAACATTCATTTTTTATTAAGAGATATTTAATCAATATTTATGGACTATTTGGAATTAATTTTCTCTTTACAGTTTAATTTGCAGTTTATTTGAATATTTATAAAAATCTTCGGTTAATCATGGGACTTAGTTCTTTTTATACGTCAATGATTCTAGGGAAAATTTGTGAAAACATAGAAAAACCATTTACCTATTTTATAAATGGTTAAATGATAGGCAAGATTCCATTTCAAATGTAAAATGAAAATGATTTTCCAAAAACCATTTAAATGGAAAATGTAAAATGCTATTTCCATTTTAAATACATATTTAAAATGGAACTATTTTAAATATTATTCAGCCCTGCATAATTTAAGCTAATGACAGCGCTATCTTAAATTTGGAATAACTCAGCGAAAAATGATCGTATCGAGGTCGGTAAAAAAGCATTTTAAAGATAAAATTCTATACTTTCACGTGCATGTTGTCCCATTGAGCGACGACACCTAATTCACATCATGCACCATCGCAAAGTTGAACCTTCGATTATCAATTTTGCATGTTGTCACTTTGTCATTCGCCATTTTGAAAATAATGGCCTAGTACAATTCCCATTCAAATAATCTTAAAGTGGACATTTCAAGCTTTGTTTTGCTTTTTTAAACATATTTTTATCTTCATTATTTACCAAGTTATGATCATTTGAAATTTGGTAAATTTTTCAAATTTTGGCAAATTTATAGTGTACCGCTTTTTTTGGAACTGAGTTATATTATTCATGAATCATTGACATTTTTTATGTAACAATTTATTTTCTCTTTTTTCTTCCTCTTCTATTTCTTATTATTATAACAGAA